CAGTTTGTCTTTCCCTGCCCTTTACTAAAGTTTCATTGCTCTGCAAATGCTGGTTGAGAGCATACATCTACATACTTAACTTTTCCAAATGAAATAGGAGACTGTTTAAACTGCTCTTATAAATTTGGAAAAATAATCTTCCCAAAACAAGTCTTGCAAAAGAATAAAATGTTTGCTTTATCTGTAAAATGCTATCACATGAGGCTTGTGTAACATGCATGATAGTTTACAAACAGGTCTATCTTTTTTTCTCTCACTTTTTGCCTTCACGGAGAACACTGTGGATAAAATTTATCTTCTGCAGTGAGTCACAACACTTGCTTTTCTTCCCCTGGGCTCTTCTGTTGAGATGAACTCATTCTGTTAAGATAAATTGTCAACTTGTAATAATAAACAATGAATAAACAACTGGTGACACTTGAGAAAAATGCTCCCGTTGCCTACCAGGTCTCTTGGTGTAGTAATATGTGACTTCGATACACTCCCATGGAAATGTTTTTAAGAGATCGGTTTTAACCACGAAGAAGAGGAGAATGGATTCAGCTGCACGCAAGGCGCTCATCTGAAGTCTGAAGCTTGACTGAAAACTGAAGGAGGTTCCAGAGACAAATTACTTCAATATAGTTTCCAGTTAAGAGAGTCTACTAGGATATGATTTAAACAAAACATTTTCAAAGAGTGCCTTTCAGCTGGACCCCTTTGTAGGATTTGTTCATCAGTGATTGCAAACGTCAGCCAGTGATTGCAAATGTCAGCCAGTGCATGGATGTTGGAGTGGCTGCTGCAGAATCACCAAGCGGGGCTCTTTGGTCATATGGATTCCTATAATTCACTCCTAGAATTTCTGATTTAGTAAGTTTGAGGTTGAGCCTGGTAATCTGTCCTCTTAAACTTACCCTGTGATCCTTGGGATTTATTCCAACCCAGGTTAAATCTTATAGTGCTTGGGGGGGTAAGGAAACATGGGAGTTTAGGTTCTACCGAAAGTAATTTATTGTGTCTTCTCTGTCCAAAATCGAATGGAAATGACGGCTCATGATGTGGCAAACTGGGTCTGGGCTGCTAGGGCGAGAGGCCGCTGTGGGATGAGATGCAGAGGCTGCTCTGTGTGTAGCTCTGTCCAGGTACAGAGACCAAGACCATGTTGTGAGGAGCTGATGCCACAGCACTTAGCTTTGTCTCATGAGATGAGAGATGCTACCCTGACACGTTCTGTCGGATTTCAAAAGCAGGAACTTTTAAAGAAAGCTTAAGTGCCTTTCACCAAGCTTTAGATTTTTACATGGACAATAATTTTATGTAATGTTTTATCTGACTTTTTAACCTGTAGAGGGTTCATTTTGTCTTTAATTTCTGATAGCTCAGGAACCAGGGGAGTTAAATCTTTGTTTATAGCTACTACTCCTTTGCTTCAAGGCCAGAATCAGGTTGCGTTCCAGTGCAGGGACAGATTACAACTTCAGCAAGCAAGGCTACTTGTTAGTAAATATGTTTGAGTGAGTCTGTGCTCTTCCAGAGCATCCATGTTTACACTTCAGGAGATGAATCATTTAGGGGAAAAAGCCTTAATGGCGATTCTGGCCTTGACCGAGGGGACAGCGTGGCTCAGGGTCCAGCCATCTCACTCAGCTTGGCATGTGTAGGAAGCATTTCCACCCGAAAGCCCCAGGGATTCTGGTATAAAAATGCTGAAAAACTTAAAGTACAGTGGTATGTTTATAAAAATCACAGGGGCCCCAGTCCTGCCTGAGCGGGGTCAGGGAAGTGCATTTGTATAACCTCACAATGGCTTCTTGACCAGAGATCTCTATTTGATTTAATCTACATCCGTAGCAGTTCTATAATTGAGTAAGAAGTCATTTATTATGAAAGGTACAAGTGTGTTTCTGACTATGGGCCAGGCAGCCCTAGCTGTGTTCTTTCTTTTTCTCCTTTCTCAAATGCAGTGACTAAAGGTTTTGGCCAAACTTCTTCCCAGAGGGAGATTTTCACTGTGTCACTCACTTGTTGAAAGGGTAGTAGCCCCAGGTGCCTGATGAGCACATCATGTGTGTGTGGGTGGTGGTGTGGGGGTCACCTCAAGAGCTCTGCTGTATGGCTCCTACAGTAACTCTGCTTGTGCAGAGGTGGAGGACTGAATGGAAGAACTGGCCTGTGACCTGACTTAAGAGCTGGGGAAGGGACCCCATGGGGTGGGAAATGCACATCCCAAGACAAAGAGGCACAGAGAGCCTGCAAATCCTGGGCTTCCCGAGTCATTTCCGGCATGTGATGTTATAGGCAAAGAGGTGAGGATAAGTTGGAAAGGCAGGTGGTCCCACGGTGTGGCAGCACCTGAGAGGCAGGCCATCTCTGTGTTCTCTCCAGGTAATCTCGCCAGAGCCCTGACGTCATAACCATTCCATTGCCTGGAATCCCAAACAGACCTCTCCAGTTCCAGATTCCTTTCCTAGCTGCCTGCTTGATGCCTCCCCCGAGAATGCCTGAAAGGCATCTCAGAGTTAAATTCCAAAACAGAGATGTTGACTCTAAGCGTCCAACCTGCTGCCCTCCTGGCTGGCCCCGCCTCATCAACAAAGACAAAAAGTATAGGAACCAGCTGGATTCTCCTCTCTCCCTCTCCCCTCCACACCACATTTACCAGTGAGTCCTGCTGACCCGACCCCCAGTACATACTCCAAAGACACGAGCTTCAGTTTGCCTCTACTGCCTCCCCTCTGCTCCTCCATGGTCACAAGATTGAAGCTGCCGTCTCCCCTCTGCTCTGCCCCAGGCAGCAACTAGAATTATCTTGTAAAACAGATCCTGCCACACCCCTTAGTAGACAGAGTGGTTGGAGATCAAAGTCTGATTAGAGAAATTAAGTATGGAGATGTGGAGCAGAGAGTCTAGCCAACTCTTTTGGAGACTTTTGCTGTGGGAGGCGAACGTTGGTTGGAAGGGTGGATTTTTCTAAGGTGAGAGAGTGCGGTTGTCCGATGTGCTGGTGGAGGTTGCTGCTATTCTCCCAGTGAAGCAGAAAGCAAGGTCACGCGCTGAGGTTGAGGAGGACAAGCAGGTAGGATCTTCCTCTAGAGGAACGGAAGGGGCCGTGGGCCTGGGAACACTCGACCACAGAGCCTTTGACCAGCTCTTTCCTCCATCCCGAATGCCCTTTCCTTGGACTTTCACATGACTGGTGGCTTTGGGACATTCAGATCATTCCTTAAATGTCACCTCCTCAGAGAGGCTCTCCCCGACCTCAGAATCAGTCACAATCATATCACCCTATTTGATTTCTCTGAGTAACATTTATTACTGTGAGATATTTAGCTTATTACCTTTTTACTTGTTTACATGTTTATTGCTGTATCTCTTGCTATAGACACGAGGACACACTAGGACCTACGTGGATAGAAAATTTTAGTAAATAAGCATGAGACATTCCTTTTGTTTTAGGAAAAAAATACAAATATGTCATGATGGAATACAGTAGGACCCAGTTTAGGTATTTGAACTTGAATCGACCCTGGATTAAATCGTGTGCGTGTGCGTGTGTGTGTGGGGGGGGGGGGGGCGGTCGACTTGGGGGAAGGCAGGTGGAGATGCATCCTGTAGCCTTGGCTTCATCGTTAGCCAACTCAAGCCACCAGTGGTCTGTATCCTCCTAGGCAAACAGGAGGTCTCTGAGTTCTCAAGGCCACTCAGCACCTACCTGAACTTGGCAGCAGCCCTCCTCCAA